CATAGCTCACAGCAACCTCCAACTCCTGGGCTCAAGCAATGTTCTTGCCTCAGCCTCCCAAGTAGCTGGGACTACAAGCGCCCGCCACAACACCTGGCTATTTTTAGAGACAGGTCTCGAGGGGGCAATCCACCTGCCTCAGCCTCCCAGAGTGCCAGGATTACAGGATTGTAATTCTACAATTCTACAACTACAATAAAAAATAATAGCCAGGCATTGCGGTGGGTGCCTGTAGTCCCAGCTACTTGAGAGGCTGAAGCAAGAGAATCGCTTAAGCCCAAGAATTTGAGGTTGCTGTGAGCTGTGATGCCACAGCACTCTACCTAGGGTGACAAAGGGATACTGTTGTAAAAAAAAAATAAAAAAGAAACAAGAAAATTTTTCATGTGTTACTCTGTAGTCCACAGAGACAGACTGGGCTGAGAAGGCGGACAAGTGATGATTAACCAGGTAGCAGGAGCCAGAGCATTCGTCTCACAACCTCCCACGCCACACAGGTGAAGGCAGCATGTAGTGGGCCGGACCCCACGGCGACACACAGCAGCCTGTCAACAGCAAGCAAGCACAGCAGCACCCAGGGCGCCTGGCAGGGACGTGCCCTGAACCTCCAGGTGTCCTATTCCTAAGGGAGCACAGATCACCCACCCCGGGATTCAGCAGGGGCACTGATTTCTTTGTCCATCACAGATGATCTTTTAAAACTCATTTCAAAGGAAGAATTTGAATACTAGTCTGAGACTTAAGCACATTAAATCTTCTGTTTAAAGGAGAATTAAAAGTTTTCTAAGTTGACTTTTTTGGGGGAAAAACAAACAACAACAACAACAAAAAATCCAACCCAAACCTAAAAACTTCTTTTTAAGGCTGCAACTGGTATGTTGGATCCACAGATAGTTATAATGTATCCTTTGTATAAGAAACAAGTTGATTCTGAGTAAATATATATGCAACTAAATTCTCCTAAAAAAACTAGAAAATTCTAGAGTGTTTGAACCTTTTTCTCTCCCCAAAATATAGGCTTCACTTTTGATATTTATAATACAAAAATATAAAATCTCTTAAGAAACATATAGAAATCCTTCACAGTAAATCAAGCCAAATCAACAAACCTTTTTTTTTTTGAGACAGAGTTTCCAGCTGTCACCCTGAGTAGAGCGCCATGGCATCACAGCTCACAGCAACCTCCAACTCCTGGGCTCAAGCAATGCTCTTGCCTCAGTGTTTCTATTTTTAGTAGAGACGGGGTCTTGCTTTTGCTCAGGCTGGTCTTGAACTCATGAGCTCAAGCAATCCACCCGCCTCTGCCTCCCAGAGTGCTAGGATTATAGGCATGAGCCACCACACCGGGCCAGCAAATGTATCTTTGCAGGGGCAAAAAGGAATGACTTAGTCTGGGGTCCTGTCCTCTTTAATTATAAAGCATCTAAGTGTTTTCCTGGCCGCCCTTCATCTTTTCCCCCTGGGCAAGGCTAGCCAGGAGAA